AAAAGAACAGTGAATAACTGAAAACCGAAAAAATACAATAATAAACAAAACTCAAAAAACTGTCCAAGTCTTGCGGACAGAACTGTGTTTCAAAAAATACACAACATTTTTAAAGAAAAGTGTTTCTTCTAAAGAAAGATGAATCACTGAAAACCTAAATTAAAAAACAAATAAAAACACCAAAAAACTGTCCAAGTCTGTGCAAAGTGAGTTATCACTTTTTGTCGATGGTCTCAAGGACAGAGAACAACCTGTCCATGTACTCTCTCCCCTCTTGTGCTCGCCGCTCCTCCGCCTCCCTCTGCAACCTCATGTCCTCCTTGATGAGGTCAATCAGCTCATCATCTCGCCCACTCTTCCTTGGTCTCTTCCGTGGTCGAGGACCAGCCGTCCATTCTTCTGCATCACCCTCTTCGTCCTCCTCTGCTTGTTGGGAACCCACTGCAGAGCTTGGTCCCGGTCTGTCATCAGGGATGGAGCTCAGTAGGACGGGGGGGCTCATCGATGGTTTCTGGCCCAATACCTCATCCATGAGGACAAACCAGGGCCAAGTCTCTGCAGTGGGCTTCCCAGCAACTCCTTCTCCTGAGCCGGGATATTTGCACTCCTAAGGAAGAGTGAAGCATTACAAGAAACATCAGGTAGGAAAAAAAAATGGGTTAGCTGAATTTCATCTACAAAAATGTACTTGCCTTGTAACGTTTTTTTAGATTGTCCCTTTTTTTTTGGCCTGCAGTGTGGTAACCAAATGGTCAATCTTCATCTGCTCCAGTATTGACCTAATAACAAAATAAAAAAGCACAACACTCACAATGATGATAACAAAAATGCAACACTCACATTTCTTTTAAGATTGCTATTAGTGGAGGGAAACACTAATGTTTTTAAGAAAGCTGTACAGTCCTACAGAAAAATAGGAGAACTTCTTTGGATAAAATCCAGTGTCCATAGAGACAGTAGTATAACCTTTCCCTTTTTTTCCAGTTTTATTAAAAAAATAGTAATTGCAGATAAAACAAGTCAAACTTACTTCCAGGCTACACTGGCAGAATGCTTGGCCCCAGTAAACAAGGCCTCTTTGGAGGCCCGCAGCCTAATAAACTGCTCCGTCTTCTCCTTGGTCCCTACAAACAGAAGGTGTGTTATTCCACAATAGATTCCACGAAACGGTCAAAAGCATGTACAAAAACATGYTTTTTTCGGGTTCTTTTCAGGTTSTTATTAGTAATAAAAAACATGAATTCGAAAAACACCGTTAATTAAATAAACACACTTTCATAATACAGACGATTTAGCATGAGCACTGTACTTTACATGATATTCAAGCACAACTTTTAGTTATATACATACATTTAAAAGACATTTCCTCCCGCGAGTTATCCAGCTCAGCCATCTTCTAATTTGCCGCGGCGCGAAAATCTCAACTGGCGCTATGAATTCTGGGATAGCCTCCGCCGGAAAGGATACTCGGATGCATCCTCGGATTTCGATAGGAAGHAGGACGCATTCCTCGACCGCATGAGGAGGAGCCTTCGAATTGGGACTGTCCTCCGTGCGGGGCAATGACGTATGCGGCCGACAAATGCGCACTCATGAGGACCCAGCCCCTGAATTGAGACACAGTGAGGGTGTTAGATGAAAGCTAGGGTGGGTGTGGCCTCATGTCAGGCAATCATAAGTTGGCAACGTTTTGTGATTTTTTCATTAACATGCTAAGGAAGTACCTAGTTTCTATCCATGGTTTTCTGATTTACTTTCCAAAACAACCCAGACAGCTCTTACTAAGTAGCTGTAAAAGGGGGGAATATGATGCTGCGTTGCAAGATTATTTTGTGCCAAGCCTGTCTATACGTCTGTCTGTCTGTCTGTCTGTCTGTCTGTCTGTCTGTCTGTCTGTCTGTCTGTCTGTCTGTCTGTCTTTCTTTCTGTCTGTCAGAACCTAGCTAGCTGAGACTTTTAATCTCAGCGTATGTGTTTAAGTCGCATTTTGGGCAGCATAAAATACACTTCAAGCTGTTGCAAAGTTTAACTGTATTCAGACACCAACACAGTGCAATTGTTTAGTTTCAACCAATGTGTCCTCTATCACCGTGTAAGCCAGTGAAATGATGTGCGTGGAGGATAAATGCAGCAAAATTGACACTGGCTAGACTGTTTTTCAGTGGTGTTTATTGTACTGTATGCAATGAAACTCATTCGTTCAGCATTTGTTCAATGATATAGTTGCAAACTGGCTACCTTTACAACAGGCTCAGTAACTCAAGAAGTGTTTGCATGAGCAAGCACAAGTCAGGTTACTTTGCATAGTGACAGATGTCACATGTCACACACAAGTAGATCTGACATTGTGCACTGATTAGCTGTCAATGCAATATCAGTTGGAGAACTTGTGGTTAGCACAGCTATTTAGACAGTAGTTGAAATAGGACTTGGTTTGTGATAAGGCTAGAGTTGGGTGTACAGBTAGAGATTCCCATTTGAAAAGCCTACGCCCAATGTGGGGCTCGAACCGACGACCCTGAGATTAAGAGTCTAATGCTCTACCGACTGAGCTAGCCGGGCTGGTGTCAAGCATTGAAAAAGCAAGTAGGGATGCAGCCGTTGTCAACAGTGATTTCTTATTGAGATCAAATTATGAAAGGACCAAGAATCTTTCAATCTTTCTTAGATTTGGCCCTTAACAGATTACTGTCTTTCTGGGAACACGTAGTGGAGAATATTTCCTTTGGACTAGTATTAATGATATTTGTTTGAAAACAAAAGAGAAAAGCAACAAATACACCTTTGTAGACAAATGAAATGTATTACAATGAGGTTTCCAAAAAGCTCGCAGAGCACACAAATGGTGTGAGACCTTTGTGGAAAGCAAACAGTACAACATCCCTGGGTAGGCTTGAAGCACCGTCCTCTCGCTTAACAGCCGAATGCGCTAACCAATTGCGCCACAAAGACACATTGTGAAATGAATGCTAGGGTGGGCCTGGCCTCATTTCAGGCACCAATAAGTTGGCAACATTTTCTGACTTTTTCACTCACATGCTAAGGAAGTACCTAGTTTCCATCCACGGTTTTTTGATTTTACTTTCCAAAACAGCCCCAACAGCTCTTACTAAGTAGCTGTAAAAGGGGGGACAATGATGCTGTGTTGCAAGATTATTTTGTGCCAAGTCTGTGTGTCTGTCTGTCTGTCTCTCAGAACCTAGCTAGTTGAGACTTTTAATCTCAGCGTAAGGGTTTAACTCACATTTTGGGCAGCATAAAATGCACACCTGCTGCGCTGCTCTCTGGTGGGTTTTGCCTTTGCCCGTCGGCATGCTGGTGGCTCTTGTTGTCCAGTGCTGGGCGCTTGGGCATTTGCCAGTTTGGCCCAGTGGCCTCCCGGTTGAGTTTGGTTCCCCTGGCCCTGTCAGACCTTGGCCTGAGACCCGGACCTCTGTGTCCACGCCTGGATTTGCTCTGGTGCAGTGGGTACCAGCGGGGCCTGTGAGCTTGTCGCTTCTGGCCCCAGGGGTTACTGTGTGTGATCACTGGTAGGGCTCTCCCTGTTCTCTCCTGTGGTCCACTTTGGGCGTTCCTCCTGGCGCGGGTGCCTCTGGGGGCTCCGTTCTTGGAGTCCCTCTCGGGGTCTTTGGCACTGGTCTCCCTTATGTCGGCTTCAGCTTTGCAGGTCAGGTCTGTGGTCCTCCACAGTCACTTTGAAACATTACCCTCACTTTTAATCATTACCCTTACCCTCAACCTTACCACCCTAGTACATACCTGACCCTAAATCTAGCCTAAACTCAATTCATACTTTGATCCTAACCCTAACCCCTGACCCACTAATTGTATTTCCACCAATTAAGACCAGGCTTTTGTCCCCATAAGGAACAGTGGGTCCTCACCAATCTGTGTGCACCAGGAAAATGGTCAAAAATCATAGCAAAAACATGTACACACAAGCACGTGCTTAAACTTAACAGTGACAAACTCTGGATTGCAAGCAGTCAAATGACATACACAAGGTGTTTTTAGTGGCTGATACTTTGAAACTGAATGCATCTGTTTCAGCTATTTCAGCAAAATTTCATCATTAGTCTCTGAGGGCACAAAACTACAGTCAACTGAGTTAAACTGGGACATTATATTTTTCTCAGCAGGAGCATGAAGGAACTGCTGCAACTAAAGTTAAATGAATCTCTGGATCTTGGATTGTGCTCCTGTGCTCTCATTTTGTTAAATTATTGGTTTATTTTTGTTTCTGACTTTTAAGATGTACTAAGCACCCCCCCACACACACACACACACACACACACACACATACACTAAAGACAACAGTGATGTATTTTTTTGAATATTTTGTGTCAGAAACCTAGTTGTGTTTATGCTGTAAACGCTCTGCTTTACTATCAGATGTTTGGTCAACTGAAATTAGTTCTGCATGCTTTCAATTAAAAGATCTAATGACTTTTTGATAGACATTGATGATTAAACCCACGAGGACACTATTTGAACATGCCTGCATATGGGCTCAGAGGCCTGCCATCTCCGTATCCTTCCCCAGCACTAAAAGGTCATTTGAGAGTAGATGTTGTGTCCTTTGGTGCATCAAAGTGCCTGGAGACATGTGTGTGTGTGTGCTTCCTTGCTACTGAAATTCTCCTTCTGCATGTTGAATTTGCTTTCTCTCTCCTTCGGTTCTTTAGAAGCTTTGCTGGTGTCTAATTAGCTTTCAGCTCAAGATGCTGTGATGATGATGCGCACATGTGCACTGTGCAAACTCGAAGGGATACATATACACACACACACACACACATTAAGATGAGATGAGGGCCAACTATTGTACATTAGAGTATTCTGGGAGAGCAGACCAGTTCAGAGTGGTATTAATCCAATAAAGAGGGCTGCACAAGTGAGATAACCGATGTTTATTCTCACCAAGCTTCAAATCAAAAGCTGCACTGTGATATTTCAGACTCAGAGAGGAAATCTGCAAATTGGTCTGTGATATTTTTACACAAAGAGTTGTGGAACATGACAGGGTCTTTCATTTCCTTTGCCTGTCTTTCTCTTTTTTCTTTATTTATCTTATTTTATTTTCTATTTTGGTCCTTAAGTCCTATTTTTTGCACCTGTCATTTTGTCCTCAGGTCTAACTGTTATCCACCACCCCTCCCTCTGACACAATAGTGTGATGCTCAGTGATATTTGTGGTTTTTTGCTGAGATAGGTCACAACATCAGAGCCACATTAATGTCTGAGCTTTAAAAAAATAAACATACAAACAATATTAACAATAAAAATCAAGAAGTACCACTGAGACAGGGTGCTCAAATTGGCTTCTCATGCTTTGTTTCTTTTACCAGATCTTTACATTTTTCTATCTGCCTCCAAAGTTATTTTAGTTTGTGCCTCCTGAGTTTTCCCCTGAGAAACTTGAAAATGTTGGCTAATTTGCATTTGAGCATTTGTTCAGTGATGCCAGACTAACTTTATCATGTCCCTCATCCAAGCTTTGTTGCAGACCAAGCACAGCTTTTCATGGCACCTTCCTGATGGCAGCAGCTTTAGACAGCAGGACAAAGCAAGCTGCCGTTGAGAAAAGGAGAAAACAATCCAAACTGCCGGCTGAACTAGAGATCCCATCATGCAGAACACAAAACTTAAAGGATGTAACGCTCTCAGTCTGGTGTAAGGAAGTCAAAATTCATATACAAAATAATAATAGTAATAATAATAATAATAATAATAATAATAATAATAACAACA